TTCCATTTCCTTTTTGACAACTTCTAATGAAGAGCACTTAATAAATATTAACTACTGCTATTATGGAGTCCTAGTGTGGCACTGTGGGTTAATGTGCTAGACTGCAATGTCAGCTTGAACCACAAGGTTGGTGGTTCAAGCTCATCAGACGCTCCTTGGAAACCCTATACAGGGTCACTATGGGATGGAATTGACTTGATGGCACTTAACAACAACAACAACAATTGCTAATGCAATCTGGGAAAACAACAAAGCACACAGGACACAACCTACTGGCTCTTGCTGACAAAGCAGAACTGTATACTGAGGGCATGGCTAAGGCTGAGAGTCCAGTCCCTTCTGTGAAGAATAGATCCAGGGCAGGAAACCATGTCCAATATGTCTACAGCACTATAGCCTCCTAGGCTAGATCTTCTGCTCAAGGAAAAGCTAGACTAGGGTCTGTTGGACAATCAGGGCGGAATTGTGGAGGCAGTGGAGGCTTAAGGGTCGAATGAGATTTGGAAAGAGTAGACCATGATGGAACCAAGGTATAGTACAGATGCCAGACGCATATCCAATATCCCATAAGCTTTTCAAGGGAGGTTGAGCCACCAAATGCTTATGATTACAAACAACAGGTGCTAGAGTTTCCAAGAGGCCCAATTTCTTTGTGTGTGTGTGTGTGAATGATATCTCATTTAATCATTTTTGTTTACAACTGAAACTCTGGGAACTCAAAATTAACATCCTTGCCCGTGAACTTCTTATCCACACCAGAAAATGTTTCAATCTTGTGTTCCCCATTGTTCTGCTGTGCTTTGTCCAAATGAACCTTTATAAGACGGCTGCCATTCAGCTTTACTCAGATTCTCTCGCCCACAATTTCACTTGGGAAGACCAAGTCTTCAAGGATTGCATCATGCACAGCAGTCAGAGTGCGGCTCCTGGGATGCTTTTGCTTATTTTTTGTATGATTTTTTCGAGTTGGTTTAGGCAGAATTCTCCTCTGAGCAATAAAGACCACGTGCTTTCCACTGAACTTTTTCTGCAGTTCATGAAGTTGGACTCGGATTTCCTGGAAAGACTTCAGTTGAGGAACAGGAACAAAGATGATAATAGCTTTCCAGCCACCAGCAATTTCAATTTCCTCAGCTGCAGCTATGTTCAGCTCTCTTAACTGAGCCTTTAGGTCCGAGTTCATCTGTAGCTCAAGAGCGAATTCATCCAGCTTTTCGCCACTGGGCTTCACAATCTTCATGCTTGAACTGATCGTGGCCTTTGTCTTGCCGAGCGGCCAGCCTAGGAAGAACAAGAGGCCCAATTTCTTGAAATCACCTTAAAAGTGATTAGAATGGACAGACTGGGTGTGTGCTGGGTCCAGTCTGTCTTTTTGAGTGATTGGCTGAGGGGCCTGTGGCTCATCCTTCATGACAGGATGATCTCCACTTTCTGTGCTCAAAGGTAACATCAGTAGTAATTGAACTAACGGACAAAAGTGCTTGCTCATGTGACGTCCTGAGACGAACAGCGCAGAAACTTACGTAGGATTGCTACTAAAAAAGCACAACCTGAAGCTAATCACGGTGGAAGAATTTCCATAAAGCCACTGGCCTACACTCTTCAGAAATGCCAACGTGATGCAAAGAAACAAGAGGGGGTTACTCGACGTTAAAGAGACTAAAAAGCCATGACAAGTAAATGCAGTGTAGGTGAATATTGGGACAACTGGCAGAACTTCATTACAAAGGTTTTCTTTGAACCATAAAGAATTGCAGTTTTTATCTTCCAAATGCAGTTAATATCAGCAGTTTCATATGGCTCAACCTAAATAGGTTAATATATTACATCAACATTAAATTGCTTGGATTTGATCACTGTATTGTGGTTCTCTAAGAGATTACTTGTTCTTAACATGTATTTAGGAGAAAGAGCAAAAAAGAAGGCAGAATGTCAACAACTAATTGATCCAAGCGAAGTTTAGATGAAAGTTTATTGGGACATTCTTTGTAAATTTTCAAAACGTAAAGTTGGAAAAATTTCACAGGGAAATTCCTTCTGGCTCCTATCCTGGGTTTCTGGTGTGGCACTGGACTTCTAACCACAAGGTGGGTGATCCAAACCCACTAGCCGTTGCTTGGAAACCCTATGCAGGGTTGCTATGAGTCAGGACTTAGCCACAACCTACCTTAGGGGCAGCTTTCAGGTGTGTGTAGAAGACTCTCCCTACAATGGGCCTGTTACTAGGGCCATCACTCACCTGGGTTTCCAGTTCTGTGACTTCCAAGTTCAGTTTATTCAGGTGCTTGTTCACAAAAGTGATGAGGGTCTAAAAGGGAAGCACAGCCGGACATTTAAGATGGAAGGCTACCAGGTCAGACCCGGGAGGCCACTTCTGTGATTCCACAGCAGGGACTGGGATCCGTGTAAAGTCACAAGGCCACCTAGGAGCACAGTGCCAGGGCTCCTACACAGAGCTATGTGCGGGTGAGCAGCCTATACGGGTCCAGCAGGGGTAGGAGGGACAGTCCCACACAACGTGGGGTTCTAACGGGAAGTTTCAGGATGTGAAAGGAGCAGCATTTCTCCAGCAAGTCCCCGGAGACACAATGAAGGGAAAGGGTGAGCCTATGGGAAATTAGGACGGGGCCACATAAGAAATGAACTCAGCAGGGCCCTCCTTCTTAGGTGTCGGTCCTGTGCCCAGGGGGACAGACAGAGGTCTGTGTGATGAGTTGGGGAAGGTAAGAGCACAGAGTACTCATAGCTGCAACACTCTCAAGAACTGTCACCCCAATGGGAGAAAACAGGGACAGGATTAAATGTCCGTGAGAAGATGACAGCTAAAATAACATCTGGGGGAAAGCCCAGCATTTGCAGAGATTTGAGATTTACATCAATTTCTGCAGGGAGCTTGCAGGCAGCAGGAATAGACTCTCATAATGTTTTGACTTCATCTCCCTTGCCTAACTCCCTCCCAGGTACCCCTTTCTTACCTTTTTCACCACGTTGAGTTTGTCTGGAGCATGGTCAAACAATGTGTCGAAGGCATCTCGTTCTGGAAAAGAGGAAAACATAACGTGGGCGTGAGATGGTGCTTGTGACTTTGGAGCCTTGGTTTGGGGGTAGATTCTTGGCCTAGAGGTCTTTTTCCAAATGGTGTACATCCGTGTTCTGGAAACATGTCAACCTTTTACTGAGAAGGGGCTCTATCAGGCAGCTTGACCTGGGGTTGAACATTTCTCTCCACTTGTTTCATCATCTCCTGACTCAAGGGGCCCTGATGGCATTAACAGTAGTTATGCCCTCTGCTGCCAACCAGAAGGTCAGTGGCTTGAGCCCAGCAGCCACTCTGCAGCAAAAAAGAAGACCTACGATCTGCTCTTATAAAGATTTCAGCCTATGGGGCCATTCTCCCCTGTCATATAGGGTGGTGAGGAGGCGGAAATGACCAAATACACACACTATCCCCACAACACCACATGACTCAGTCATGGTTCTAAAGTGTTTATGAAGCGTTTTGGAGGTAGAGTGTTATCTAAACATCAGATCATTTCACCCCCTGATTTTCAAAAACAAGACACCCCAGACAAACATCACAGTGAGGTATACAGGTAAAAGGACAGGGAGTCAGGGGGCCCCAGGTAGAATATGAGCTCCTCATTTTGAGTAAACTCTGTCTAGGTCACTTCAACTCTCTGTGCCTCAGTTTCCTCTGTAAACTACTGAAATATGAAACTCCTTCAAGGTTGTCACCAGAGTAAAAGGCAAGAATGTACGGGAATATGCTCTGTAAATGCCAAAGAGCTCTACCGATGTGAATTCGGAGCATAACTTAAATCCTTAAAAATACCACTCACAGTGAAAAGCTGGGTTGTGGAAATTACCAAAGGTATACGCCCCCTCAGAGATTTGCCTTGCTACAACTCCTTGTTTTCCAGTTGAGAGGAAAACTCCAAGACAGGTGAATCTGGGTTGGTTGGCTTCATGACCCCAGTGTGTCTGCCTTTTCTTACTCTTGCTCTGATGAATGGGTAACTGTCACATTGCCAGAAAAGTGATGGTGACCTCTGATATTCACAGACTTAGAAACAAACCCACAGAATTGTGGGTAATGTGAGAGGTAGGAGCTGTGATGATGGAAGTGGAAGAATATAGCTCCTGGAAAGGCTGGGCAGACTGGACAGAGGGGATGGCGCTCCCTTGAATCTACATGTATATACATCTTCCTTCACTCCCACAATATGCTTGGGGCTAAACTTCCCTGAAAATGCCCAGGACCCATGCAGAAGTCCAGCAAAGTCTGACCACTGGCAAGAGGACTGCGTTGATGTGGGCAGTTTTCCTCTTCACAACAGTAAGCTGCCTCTCTCTACCCAGCTGGCCTGGTCACAGGTGCAGACACTTGTCCAGGCAGCAAGCTCAGTGCCTGTTGGTCCCAGTGTCCACAAAACAGCTGCTTCCACATTAACTAGGGCCCCACTGCAGACACCAGTGATGGAGGACCATCCTGGGTAACTCACCATGCCTTCCAGAAAGAGCCCTGGAAAGAAAGGAAAAGAAAACAGTGTTATTCTTCTCTCCGTGGCCTGTTCTCTGAAAGAAACTTCCATCAATGCTGGAAGGCCACCACCACCCTGCTTACTCAAGTACCAGCCTGCTTGTCCTTGGTTGATTAATTCAAAACTCTCTTTCCTTAGGCACTTTATTCGTTGCTAAGTCTTTTAATTAATTACTCACTCTTCAGCACATTGTTATTGTTGTTGTGTGCCCTCGAGTTGGTTCTGACTCAAAGTTACCCTGTATAACGTTTTCGAGGAGTAGCTGGTAGGTTTGAACTGCTGACCTTGTGGTTTGCAGTCCAGTGCTGATCCTACAGTGCCACACCAGAAGTCCTCATACTATTACCCATTTCTTCTCTTGGTTACACAGATATACTGGTATTTGTGCAAAGGTTGGTGTAATGATGCTTAAACGAGTATTTCTTGTCTTAAATAAAGAATATTAGACTCAGGGGCTTAAGACTGACAACTGAATTTCAGGGGCCATGCTGGCTCAGGCAAAGCCCTGATGTGGAATTGCAATGGTCAGGTTGCTGTGGGCATCTGCTTGGGGAGGGCAGCTTTGTCTTTCTCTCATCCATCCTGTAATGTCCTCCAAATTACACCTGCTACTGGACCCAAACAGGGCAGGAACTGTAACTTCCCTTGTAGCAGAGAAGCTGCAAAGTATTCAGAACATAACTAGTAGACACACACAGGCCGTGTACGTTTTAAATCCCACTGAGCCATCTGCAAGCTGTGTGATCTTGGACAAGTTACTTAACTTCTCTGGGTTCTTATCTCTAAAATGAGAATAACAGCAAACACTTTTAATGGGATGTTGTAAGCATTAAAAGATTTAATATGTAGAAAGGTTTTAGCATAATGCCCAGTATATAAGAAATGCTCAACATATATCTTTCCCTTAATACATTTCTGGTTTTTTATTATGACTTTTATTATATTGGTTTATTCCAACTATACACCTATCACCTACCAATTGACCAGTTGGGGGTAGCAGATTGGAAAGAAAAATTCACTTAGTGTTAACTGTTGGATAGCTCAATGACACCTTTAAACTTTGGGGTTTAGGGAATTTAATCATTACCCTATGTGCTTATTTTCAATATCAATGAGACATGAAAGCATTATGTAAACAGAATTTTGCTTTCATTATTAGAAGGCTGTATCCCTGTTTATGTCTTTGTGGTAGATGTGGCAGAGAAGAAAGAACAACAGTGGCCAGAGACAGGCAAGGATCACGTGGAACCTCGGCAACCTAAGACAGAGCCATTGCCATGCTGCAATGAGTTTCGATGATGGGTAAGACTGAGGAATTCGCACTGACCGCCTAAGACAGGCAGCGTCCCTTAAACAAATAATAAATAAGGGGGAATCTGATGCAGACCGTGCAGACCCAGTCAGGAGTTCAAGTCCCTGTGGGCTCAAGTGTTGCTGACCGTCCAAACCATAGGCTCTGAGGATCAGACTTTAGCCACCTAGCAGACATAGCAAAGTGTCCCTTATCTGATTATTCAGTTATGCTGGTTAGTAATTCCATACATGAGCCCTGGATACCCACAGATAAATGTAAAAACCTTCCCTAAAAGCTGAGACTGTAAATTCCAAAAAGGCAAAGTTTTTCCGCCCCAAAAATGCTAAAGAGGATATAGAGAAACTCTGTTAACTGATGGTATGTGGAGGGGATTATAATCAATGTAATGAAACAAGGTATATGAATGTTTGAATGTGAAACCGATGATGTGCCCTGAAAACTTTCACTCAATCCACAATAAAAACCTTAAAAAAAAAAAAAAGAAAGAACAACAGAAGCCATGGCAAGCACTGAGAGAATGTTCTGGAATCTGAAACTTCATACCCTTCGATTCAGGAGTTTCTCATGGGCCAAGCGCCTCTCAGGTGAAAAAGCACGTAAAGTCCAACAAAGGTGGGGGTGGGTGGGGAGTAGGACAGTGAGGAATTCTGCTCCTTAACCAGCTGGCCTGACCCAGGGTACCTTTCCTCCATTTCTCACAGGTACAAGGCCAAAGTCAGTGTTGTTATGTCTTTGAGCTGGCCCTTCCTCTATTAAGATTGGCCCCTGGAGTGACTAGGAGTCTTTCTGATAAGATACACTGGGGACCTGGGGAAGGGTCACCTCTCCTTTCTGCTCTTATCCCTCAGCCCGAAATGCCCAGACCCCAGGGCTTCTTTGAAGTACAGTATACAATGTGGTCTAGTCAGGCAGCAGTACTGGGAAATGAGAATAGGGCGTTTCCTAGAGACTGGGCCAGGCGGGAACATGTGGGTCAGCTGTGATGAGGAAACCCAAGAAAAGCAGCAATAAAGGGCAGGTGAGAGGAAGAACAGCTGCTACCACATGGAATTGTCACCACCTTTCTGCAGCTTAGGAAAATCCCACTTCACAGATGTCAGAGAGGTTAAGGGGCTCATCTGCTATGTAATTGGTAAAAGGTGAACTTGAACTCAAACTGAGCTGACATAGAAACTTCTGCCTTTTCACTATGTCATTATCATTCAAGGGGGACCCAAGGAACGCTAAAAATGAACTTTGCCCAGCTATGCCTGTGGCCAGGGAGCAGGCTTGCCTGATGACCTCAGACCCCATACATCAACCTGCTCTTTCTGCTTAAGACAACACTCCTCTTGGCTATGACAAACTGCTTATACATTCTGATAGTGCAGTTTCTTAAAGCAAGTGAAAAGGGGAGAGAAAGAAAAACCCAAACAAACCAAAAAAGCTAGGGTAGACAGGGACTTTCTGGGTCATGGCACGTGACCAAATAAATCCAATTCAGAAAGGAAGAAAAATGTCTTTTTGTAGGTTAACAATTTAAATTCAACCCCATGTTTATGGCAAGATGATTTCATGCTGGTTGGCTTTTTTGGGCGCATTTTTTCCTGGAGTGCCATAAAATTAGAATTTTTCAATCATTACTAATTCCCTCTCCCCATTTCCCCACCCAAGTTTGTACCTTAAGCATTGAGAGGCATGTTTTGAATGCACGGAAAAGGCTAAACTATAATCATTGGCTGAAGTCTAATCCCTCCTGCAATCCCAATAAATGAAAACTAAATATCAGCAAATGGATGCATTTTGGAGAAACATCTGTGTTCCATTACAGAATCTCTGGCAACAATGGTGTTCACATACTCTGTGTTACCAGTTATTTCCTCTTGGATTTGCCGAGACTGGAGGATTCCTTCTCGTTTCTGAAATGGGGGTAGGGAGAGGGGATGGGAAGAGAGGAGAAAAAATATGCTTTAGAAAAAATACCAACCAACAGACGAGCATTTCTGATATTGAGAAAGTGAGTGGAGTTGGAGAAGTGAACTCAGAGACAAGATAATGCTAGAAATGAAACGAGGTCCCTGAGTTCCTGTTACTGGACTGTACCATTTGGACTAAGTGAAATTAGTGTTTAGTCCAAACAAGTAGGCTGTTTCTTGGACGGTGACTCTTTTCTTTTTTTATTGGAAAACATTCTGCTGGAAGCAAACTGTTCGCCTCCCGGAGTAATCCACAGTAAACCAAATGGAAATGAAGGCCAGGGTGTGTCTGCCCTCCAGCTGGGGCCATGGAGGGAAGCGGAGAGAAACACAGTTAACTGTGGGGATGGGCTTGGAGAGTCTGTCTCTCTTTTTTAAATTGATAAAATGGGAGTTTTAGAGTAAGTAGTACAGTACTCCTTAATGCATTTCTTCTCTGAGAAAAGATTAAGCACTTCCGGGGCCATCTATAAGTCTCACTCACTCATGTTCACTCACCCACCTATTCATCCATCCGTCTGTTCACCCCTCACATCTACAAATCCTCTTCTTTATTTCATTAGTTAGGGTTGGAGTTAGAATAAATACAATGGAGTATAAAAAACTGTTGTTTACGTTTAAGAAGACTCCAGGGAATATTTTTTGGTTTAAGGTTTAAAGGTTATCTCAGGAAAATAGTATTAGGAATTCATCTAGAATCCATGGCTCCAGAAAATCTAAAGTTCATGAGAATTTGAAATTCTGTTCTATATTTCCCCCCTTTCAAATCTTCTATAGAATCTTTGATCCAAATGTTCAGTAATGGTAGTTAAGTGCCAGCCAGTTCATGACAAAGGTGCATGGAAACAAACACACATTCCCTATCTTCTTACTCCCAATTCTCCTGTTATGAGGTGTTTGGTTGTACATATGCAACCTCAGCAACTTTTTAATTGTTGTTAATCTATTACACAACTTTTGCCAATTTATTGACAGCAATTACAATAGTCAGCTGTGCAACCTTACCCTTAATCAATGTGATTTTTCCATCATTGTTAACGCCCCTCCCTCCTACCACTAACAGACTTTGCTCTCTAAACATTTGCCTTTTGGGATTGGCTTGTCTCATTCAGCATATATTGTCAAACTCCATCCATGTCATTTCTTGTACTGGCTGTGTAATATTCCATTGTATGTATGTATCACATTTTGTTTATCCATTCGTTTGTTTATGGGCATACATTTAGGTGGTTTCCATCTTCTGGCTATTATGAATAGTGTTATAATGAACACTGGTGTACCAATTTCTTTTTGAGTCCCTGCTTTCAAGTCTTTTGGATTTATACCTAGGAGTGAAATTGCTGGATTATGTGGTAGTTTCGTTCTTTGAGGAACTGGCATACAGTTTTCCACTATGGCTGTACCATTTTGCATTTTTATCAATGCAAAATGAAGATTCCAATTTCCCCACATTTTCTCCAACAGTTATTTTCCTTTTTTTAAATTTTAATTTAAATTTTAGCTATCCTACTGGGAATGAAATGGTAACTCATTGTGCTTTTGAATTACATCTCTCTGATGGCCAATGGCATTGAACATTTTCCCATATGTTTGATGGCCATTTGAACGTTCTCTTTGGCAAAATGTCTATTCAAATCCTTTGCCAATTTTAGGACTGGATTATCTGTCTTTTTGTTGTTAAATTATTGACATTTTCCATGTATTTTGGTTATTAGATTTTTGTTGGATCTATAATTTCCAAAGATAGTCTTCCAGTAGGTAGCTTGTCTTTTCACTCTTTGGTAAAGTCTCTGGATGAACAAAAGTTTAAAATTTTTATGAGGTCCTGTTTATCTATTTTGTCTTTTGCTCTTTGTGTTTTTGCTATTATATTAAGTCAGCCATCTGTGAAAGTTAGACCTGATAGCACAGCCCTGGCTTGTTCTTCTAAGAAGTTTATGGTGTTAGTTTTCACTTTTAGGTCATTAATCCATTTTCAATTTGTCTTTGTATGTGATGTGAGGCATGTCTTTGTATGTATGTGATTTTCTGCATGTGAAAATCAAATTTTCCTAGCATTTAATGAAAGAACTCTTCTTTCCACATTGAAAGTACTTAGCAACCTTGTTAAAAAAAAAAATCAGTTGACCATATTATGTGGATTTATTCCTGGACTCTCAATTTTATTCCATTGATCTATCTATGTATACATTGTTATGCTAGTACCAGGCTCTGGTAGCGTAGTGGTTACGAATCAGGCTGTGAACCTCAAGGTCAGCAGTTCAAAACTACCAGCTGTTCCATGGGAGAAAGATGAGGCTTTCTGTTCGCATAAAGATTTACAGCCTCGGGAACCCTGTATAGGGTCGCTATGGGTAGGAATCAACTCGACAGCACTTAACAACAACAACAAAGTACCAGGCTGTTTTGACAACTGTAGCTCTACAGCATGTTATAAAATCAGGAAGTGTGAGACTTCTTACTTTGTTACTCTCTTTCAACAGTTTTAGCTATTCTGAGCCTCTTGCCCTTTCCATATAAAGTAGAGGATTGGTTTTTCTGTTTCTATAAGGAAGGCTGTTAGAATTTTGGTCAGGATTGTATTGAATGTATAGTCACTTTGGATAGTATTGACATCTAACAACATTAAGTCTTCCAATCCATGAACATAGAACATCTTTCCATTTATTTAAGCCTTCTTTAACCTCTTTCAGCAGTGTCTTAAAGTTTTCATTGTTTAAATTCTTCACACCTATGGTTAGATTTATTGCTAGCTATTTTATTCTCTTAGATCCTATTGTAAATGAAATTGTTTCCCTAATTTCTCTTTCAGAATTCTCATTGCTGATATATAGAAATCCAGCTGACTTTTGTTTGTTGACCTGGTATCCTGCAATTTTGGTAAATTCCTCTCTTAACTCTAGAAGTTCCCTTATGGGTGAATTGGCATTTTCTATAGGGAGGATCATATCATCCACAAACAGAGATAACTTTACAGAAGTAAAATTTCTAATCTGGACAGATTTGATTTCTATTTCTTGTCTTATTGCTCTGGCTAGGACTTCTAAGTCAATACTGAATAGAAATGGTGAGTGCAGTCACCTTTGTGACTTTATTCCCTATTTCAAGGGGAAAAGTTCCCCATTTTTTTTCCATTAAATATTATGTTGGCTGTTGGCTTTTCATATATGCCCTGAATCATACTGAGGACTTTTCTTTCTATTCTAATATTCTTTAGGATTTTCATCAAGAAAAGGTTTTGGATTTTATCAAATGCTTTTTCTGCATCCATAGAACTGATTATGTGGTTCTTTTCTTCTGGTCTAGTGATGTGGTATACTATATTGATTAATTTTCTAATGTTGAACTATCCCTGCATTCCTGGAAGAAATCCCACTTGGTCATGATGTATGACTCTCTTAACGTGTTCCTGGATCCTGTTTGCTAGCATTTTGTTGAAGACAAAATATCTTATATATTCATAAGAGATATTGGCTGGTGGTTTTCTTTTTTGTGATGTCTTTATCTGGTATGGGTTTCATGGTTTATTTTTACTTCACAGAATGAATTAGGAAGTATCCCTTACTTCTCCATCATTTGGAAGAGGTTAGATAGTACTGATATCAATTCACTGTTTGGAAGAATTCCCCAGTGAAGCCATCTGGCCCAGGACTTTTTTTTTTAAAATAAATGTTTTATTGTGAATTATGTGATAGTTTACATGGGAGAACATTAATTTTACATTCATTCTATAATATATCATTTCATTGCCAGGGCTTTTTTTTTTTAAATAAATGTTTTATTGTGTATTGTGTGATAGTTTACATGGGGAAACATTAGTTTTACATTCATTCTGTCATACATCGTTTCATTGCCATAGTCACCATCCCGTCCATGCATCATCCCCCAACCAAAGGGTATACCCTACAAGCCCACCTGGCCGCCCCCCGCCTGGTCCTCAGCACACAGCCCCTTTCCCTCTTTGGATCTCAAGCCCTCAGCCACTCCATCTCTTCACGTCATCCTCTCTGTCTCCATCTCAGGCCTCACTGCTGCTCTGGGTGGGGTCCCATTCTCTGCTCTTGTCCAGTGATGGCAGGACTTTTTTTTTGTTGGGAGGTTTTGACTACTGATTCTCTCACTCACTTATTATGGGTCTGTGGAGGCGTTCTACTTCCTCTGGAGTCAGTTTGGATAGGTTGTGTGCTTCTAAGAATTTGTCCATTTCATCTAGGGTATCTAGTTTGTTTCTATACAGTTAATGATATTCTATCATAATTCTCTTTATTTCTATAGGGTCACTTGTTGTAATGGCCCTTCTTTCATTTTGGTTATTTGCATATTTTCTCTTCTTTTCTTTGTCAGTCTAGCTAAAGTGTTGCTAATATTATTTACTTTTTTAAAGAACAAATTTTGGGTTTGATTTATTTTCTATATTGTTTTTCTATGTTTTATTTGATTTATTTCTGCTCAGTTCTTTATTTCTTCTGGTACATTTAAGCTTAGTTTGATTTTCTCTTTCTAGTTCTTTTAATTGTAGCACTAGGCTGAGATCTTTCATCCTTTTCTTTATTTTTATTTTTTTATTTTTTGTAGGCATTTACTGCTATAAGTTTCCCTGGAATGGAGGTTTATGAATAGGGGAATATAAGGGCTCAGGAAGACTTTCTAATGGGAGTAAAGGGGAAGCTTCATTCCATCAAATCCCACCAAAACCATTTTTCAGACACAGGCAGGAAGGTCGTGCAAATGGTTGTCAGAGTGAATTCATCTTCCACAGAGGCTGACATGATTGTCAAGAAGGGGCCTGAGAGGTGGAAGGTCAGCTGAAACCCTCCTTCTTTAGTCCCCTGATGAAACTTCTCTTCACATTCCCAATAACCACTAAAAATAGTGCACTTGAAAAATATTTTTATAGAAGGAAAGTTAAAACTGGATATAGGCCAAAAGTATATCTGAAGTAGATGCAGCAGAAAGGATTATCAAAGTGCACACACACACAAATAAGTAAAGAAACAAAAAAATTAGAAAATCGTTTGAAAGAGATTCCAAAAAAGTCTATTGCTGTAGAAGTGATTTCGATTAATAGGGACCTATGGGACAGAGAAGAATGCATTATAGGGTTTCCAAGGTTATCAGTCTTTTACGGAAGCAAATTTTTTATGCACAGCTTTTTCCCACACTGTGGCTGGTGGGTATGAATTGCTAACATAGGGTTTCCAAAGTTGCAAATCTTTATGGAAGCAGACTGCCACATCTCTGTCCTGTGGAATGACTGGTGAGGTTGAACCACTAGACTTCTGTCATGTGAGGCCATTCATGGACATAAAACCTCAATCTTAAACTCCATGCAGAATTAAGAGCTTCCATACAGAAAACAAGGAAGATCGCCATAAGGATGGATTGGCACAGTGGCAGCAGCAAAGGCCTCAAGTGTAACAACACCTGGTGCAGGACCAGGCAGTGTTTTGTTGTGTTGTGCATAGGCTCACTATGCGTCAGAACTGACTCGATGGCACCTAACAACAACACACAGACCATTAGCAAAAATCTGGGTTAAACAACCCCTCACATAGCATCCTAATTTACCCCCATCTATTACCTGTTCCCTACAGAGTTATCTGTGTAGTTTAAACAGTGACTTATGGCTAGTTCTTGGAGTCCTGCTTCTGTGCCAGTTTCGCTTGATAAAGCAAAACACCTCATAAAACCTGACACGCACTGATGACATTTTATGTAATGTGTCCTCTTTTCTCCTGTGTGCTAACAAAACTGTCTGCAGGAGAAATTAAACCAACAACAGCCTTCTCCTGGCTTATGATTGAGAGCTGAAAACAAGGCATATATAGTGGGCTTGCAATGGCATCTGTTTTAAACTAGGAGCCCCCTTCCTCCTGCCAAATTTTAACTGTATTTTTAAAGAATATAATGAAGTAGCTTCTCACATTGTCTACTGGTAAAATAACACAACAGAGACAGCCTAGATTCACCAGGGAGATACTGGTTCAAGAATGCTCAGGATTGGCCATAGTAGCACCATGCTTGATACAACTGAAGTGCTCAATAAATAATGGCAATTAGTACCTTTCCATTACCTGTGATTAGTGTCTGAACCATAACATTCACATCAACTATAGGCTTCTAATAGCCCCTTCTGCTTCTTTTCTCCTGGCAGGCAGGGCTAAGTTGTGACACTCCTATTATTCCCTCATGATGTTTAGCAAGGCTTCATGCATGATATAAATGCATGTACTTGTACTTGGCTACTGACCAAAAAGTAGCCCTGGTAGCATAGTAGATCACAAGCTGGGATGCTAACCACAAGGTCAACAGTTCAAATCTACCAGTACTCCATGGGAGAAAGATAAGGTTTTCTGTAACTATTAAAATTTACAGCCTAGGAAATCTTATACAGGGTCGCTATGAGTTGGAACTGACTCAATGGCACATAACCACCACCACTAAACTAAATCTATCCAGTAGCACTGTGGCAGAAAAGCCTGATGATCTGCTTCTATAAAGACTGTGACCAAGAAAACTCTAAGGAGCTCACTTCTTCTCTACTAACAAATGGGTCCCCATGAGTTGGAATCAACTCAATGGCAACAGGCTTGGGTTTTGATGATCAGCAGAGTTAAGCAACCAGAATGTGTGGAAGAAATGCTTTCAGATTAGGCACGACTAATCAATGACTGAGGAGCCATCCATCAGTGTTAGAGTCACCACCTCCCCCTCCCTCTCCATTAACATCTGATTTCCCAGAATGCTCAGCTCAAAGCCCTTCTGTCCTGGACTCTGGTCTCGTGTGGTTCATTTGCTTGCAGGGATTTTCCTTCCTATTTCAGGCCTTCTCCCTTGATGCATATTTATTTGGAAAATAACAGAAACAAACCAACAAAACAATGACCTTTTGCTAAATGGGCATAAAGATGGAAAATAAAATTGAATTTGAGTAGCTAATGTACTTAGGAGCAGAGTGAGATCGTCCGGGGAGAGAGCACACCCTCATTGTGGAAATGATACACCCATATGTGACTGGAAATTCCATCGAACAATCTGGAAAAAGCTGACTTGAGATCTCAGCTCTGCTTCTCTGAGTGGGTGAAAAGCAGCAGTGCCCTCAATGTGATCAGGCAAGTCTCTCTCACATACACAGGTATCTATCTCCCTCAATGCCTATGTTTCATCTATTTAACTAAAAAGGGATGATTCGCCATGGCTGGCAGGGCATCCTGCACACTGCTTACACAAATGCACACACACACACACACACAAGGACACCTTTCCTCCTGGCCCCACTACACAAATACATACCACACACTCTCTCAAGTATAATTACAGGGATATTCTCCTGACAAAAACAGGTAAATCCAGACACAGGCCTCACCCAGAGTATCTCAGGCCCAAGTACATACTCTTCCACTCTTTGCACACATATCAAAGATAAGTCAACATGCATTAGGTAACCCAAGGACATTCAGCATTCATCAATCCACTGTGCCTTGGCCCTCACAGAACCCAGCATCTGTACCTCCTTAAAGGGGCCATTGTTTATGATAGTATTCATCTTACCTGCACCACAACCACTTGAATGGAAACATGGTCTGGGAGACGGATTGGTGCCCGGAAATACTGGGACAGAGCAACGAGCAGATGCAAGATGGCTACCAGGCTCTTGGCATGAACAGCTGAAATAAAAGATGATTTTAAAATTTAAAGAATCTTCTGTAAGGTTTTTGACAACACGAACAATATTCAAAAACATTCCACACCAATGTCCTTTTTAGTCTACCCTCCAGATTCACAGTTCAGTGTCCTTGGTCATCATGGGTTTCATGCTGGGACCCTTAATTTCTTGGTCTGATACTATGGAACATCTACTAGGAACATATGGTTAGATTTCTAGTGCAGCAACTCTTTCACATAAGTTGCCCATCTGGACCCTGATGACAGCAATATCTGAGCTCAGATCTGCCCTCTGAATACCCCATGTCCCTTTGTATGCTGTTCTATCAACCATGGACATGTCTGCCCTATACCCCTCCCTACTGATAGTTAACTCTAGATTTCTACTAGTACCCTGTTCCAAGGACTCCTTCCTTATTTAGGACTTAAAAATTCCTGGAAGAAGGCCTGAGAATCATCTAAAAGCTTTGTTCTCAAATGCCATGTATGGTCACAGTAGACGATGCCCCTTGGGGAATAGTTGGGAGGGGATGTTCATGACTGAGTTGATTTCCATAGCTTCTGAGCTATGGCTGGATGCTAAGCCGTGTACACTAGGGAAGACTGGGCCCAGGGTTCTCTCAGGAGGTAAGAAAATGGGGACACACAGACAACGGGGTCACGCAGACTGGAGCTTGAGCACTGATTTAGCAATTCTACGACTTGCTGGCTACATGACCTTAATGGCCTCTGAGCCTTGATTTGTTCATCTTCACAACTGGGACAGCAGGATTGACGTAGAAGTATATACGTTCAAAGAATTTCCAGATATAATGTAGGCAAACCATCTGGCACACAGTAGTTGCCCAAGATATACTCATATTTTAAAAATTGCAACATATGTGTAAATGTTTGGCACCCAGGCCACTGAGACATGCTAGCTTTTTCTCCTTTCTTTTTAATAAAAGGGAAGATTCACCAGATACTTTATTTCCTTTCAAGTTCTACCAGTCCAGCCCTCGTAGTTCTTCATTACAGTGGATATTTAAGGAAAAATTAAAAAAAAAAAAAAAAAAAAAGAGTCCATTCTGTCTACTTAGCATGCACTGGGCCTTCATTAGGGTGTCCTCCTGTCTGGCCTGGGATTGATGAGTCTGCTCCAGCAGAAACTTTGAGAAACCTCCAAGAAAAAGGAATGATTCAGACATTCCTTGGGAACTCATTAGAGTTTCTTGTTATCACTGGTACTTCAAAAGTTTTCTACTTGGTATGAACAACAGTTCTGTACCACCATCAAAGAGTCAATGAACTGTTCCTAACTTTTGGCCTTCCAAAAGAAGTTATTTTTTTAACTCTGGGATTTCAGGCATTGCCAACTAAGTTTTACCCACAGTTGCAGCCTCAAACAAGGCTCCTGGCATAGGACTGGCCCACTGACATGGTGTGGACACTGACTGACAAAACAAAGCCCAGGTCTGCCCTTCTGTTCAGCACTGCCACAGCATCATCATCATTGAGTAACCCACCCCCTTCACTGACGCTCCATTTCAGCTGTTCCCCAAGGGGCATGAACTACATGAAGCTGGAACAGTTGGGGCCACACAGGTTGTTCTGTCTTGATCAAAGATTCTATAGAAGAATCTTGATTAAAAAGGGGAAAGTAGGCAACAGAACTGCAAATGATCATGGAAGCCAGACTTTCTGGAACCACTGAAGGTAATGAAGCCCCCAACCACTGCTCTGAGATGATCTGTAAACCTTAAACCAAAAATATTCCTGAAATTTTCTTTAAACCAACCAATATTGTTGTTGCTAAGTGCCGTCGAGTTGGTCCTGACTCAGAGTGAGCATGTATAGAGTTGCCAAGGAGCAGGTGATGCTTTTGAAGTACCGACCTGTGGTTATCAATCAAACCAGTTCTTATCCTACAGCACCACACTAGGACTCCAAAACCAAATGACAGTTTAGCTTAATTAGTAAAGAATGTCTACCTTGAACACTGTGCTCTTTTAACAATCTACATTCTAAGAGTAAATGAACAACAACTTGAAAGGTTAGAGAAGCTTACGGAGCGGGTCATCAGGAAGGAACACTCTGAAGAAGGGCGTGAATGGTGGCATAACTTGGAGAATATATCAACGTCACTGAGTAGTATGTGTAGAGATTGCTGAATTGGTGTATGTTCCACTGGGCATATTTTCAACAACAACAAAAATGAAATAAATTATTTGAAAAGGCAAACAAAATCAGGTGGTTCTTCCATGCTGGTGACACTGAACATAATCTCAACTGTCTTGGTCACTAACACAGGGCTTCTACAATAAGCACCTGTATGTACTGTTCTCCTGGAGAATTTCCCCATAATTTCACAACAAAAAAATCCCACAGTCTCACAACACACTGTGATGACTACTTTTACGTGTCAACTTGGTTAGGCTATCATGCCCAGTTGTATGGTCAAACACTAGCTTAGATCTATGGTTCGGGAAGTATTTTGTAGATGTGATTAGCATTTCCTTAAGTATAAAGAAGACAAGCCTGAACAATATGAGTAGGTCTCATGTGATCAGTTAAAACCCATAAGAGCAAAAACTAAGGTTTCCTGGAAATGACTAAGTTCTGCCTCAAGACTGTAACCAAAATCCTACCAGATGAAGTCATGCTGTCCTGGCTTCTAAGAAACATTCTGGCTATATTTCTTCCAAAACAGATTTGTTTATTCTGGTATATGCATACACACACACACATATACATACACACACACACACACACACACACACACACATGTGTTGTTGTTATTGTTAGGTGCCATCGAGTCGATACCGACTCACAGCAATCTAACGCACAACAGAATGAAACACTAACTGGTCCTGCGTAAACCTCACAATTGTGCTACACCTGAGCTCATTACTGCTGCCACTGTGCCGATCCATCTCACTGGGGGGATCTTCCTCTTTTTCTCCAACCTCCACTCTACCAAACATGATATTCTTCTCCAGGAACTGGTCTGTCCTGATATGTCCAAAGTAGGAGAGACGAAGTTTGACGATCCTGACTTCCAAGGAGCACTCTGGTTGTACTTCGTCCAATACAGATCTGTTTGTTCTTTATATATATATATATATATATCTTTCCATATTATCATAACTTTCATTTTTAAAAATATTCCTTTCTAAGTCTTGGCCACAAGTAAATATATTCTTTTTGATTCTTTTTCTCTGGAGAGTACTTACTGACTCACACACACACACTATGAGCACAAAGATATTAAATCTTATGTAATCTATTAATTTCTTAAAACACCTGGATAAAATTAAGTCCAATGGCAAGAATAAGATTGAACCTAGTGGTTTTTACTGCCCCTCCTTTTTTTCTTGCGTGTTCTCTCTCTTTCCCTCCATATCTCTCTTTCTAGCATAGTAACTCTTTGTTCTAAAATCCTACAGGTAACACTATCACTGAAAAAAGTATAACTGCTCTGGTTCTAACTGCAGCCCACCCACAGTTTCTTGCTCTCCCCCATACCCAGTGATGCCTAAGATTCTTCTTGTAAATCTCTAGGTTGGCTAAGCACAGTTTAATAATCACTGCTTTAATAAATTATGGTACATTTATGTAATGGAATAGTTTGCATGTGTTGAAAACCATTGTTAAGATGATGTAGCTATAAATATTAATGGTATAATGTTACAGAGACACTGGATAGAAACGATGTAAAATACATACATTTATGAATAGGCACGACACACATGCATATCCACACACACACATACACAAGTTTGTATTTGAAGCCAAGACTTGGAAAGAAATATGTGTAATACATAAATGAAAGCAGTTATGTCAGGATGGAAGATGGTTTTAACATTAATCTGTTTTCAGAATTTTCATTTTGGATAAGAAAGACATAACATCTTTCCAGTTAAAAACATTCTACACAATCTTTGCATAAGGACACCCTCATCTTGCTGCCTCTCAAGGCAACTCCTAGAAGGTTTCCTGACTGATGTTTGGCAGAATCTGAGGCCACTGTGTGTCTCTGCTCAAGTCAGGAGATTGTGTCCAGAATAAGAACAAAGGTCAAGGCTTCACTGAGTAAATTGGGAACAGGGGCAGTTGGGCAAAAAGTGTCATACTAGGGCTGGAAAACAATTTTAAAAGAAGTTTCTGAGTTAGAAATAGGCCTCTAAACTAGTCCTGTGGTGGAATTATAAATTGACATGAGTTTTCCAGAGCCAATTGGGCAGTATCTGTTATAACCTTAAAAATGTACATGCCCATCGGCCCTAAAATACCATTTCTGGATATCTAACCCACTCGATGGCACTTAACAACAACAACGGTTCTAAAGAAGTGATTATGGCTCTGAGCCAGAGACATTACTGGGCTATGTTGTTATTACTGAAAAAAAGGGAAAATAACTTAAAAATCCACCCATAGTTAAATAAATTAGAACACATCCATACAGTAACACTGAAAGTTAAATACAGAAGAAACTGCACTGATTTGTAAATATATACATCTTCCAAACAATGTTCAAAAAGCTTAAGGAAAAAAATTCCATTATCCTTTTTTATTTTTATTGTGAACTGAGTGATAGTTTACATGGGAGAACATCAGCTTTACACCGTTTAATTTCAATGATTACAATCTCCTCCATGCATCACCATTCAACAATATTTGCTTCTATCCCTTCTGTTTTTATTTTTTTGGGGGTGGGGTAGGGGACGGGGGGTGTACCCCAAAACACTCAGGAATATATAATAATTTAAACAACCAAAGGGCACATTCTGCAAGCCTGCCTCCTGACCATCAGTACTCAGTCCCTCTCTTTCCATGAGTCTAGAGTCCTTAGCTGCTCCTTTTCTCCATGTCCTCATCTCTGCCTCCTTCTCTGGATAGGGTCCCACATTCCTTTTGTGCTCTTCTCTCTTGATGGTCCTAGGGTCCTCTGTTTCTGGACTGTAAGGTTAACTACTCCTCCATTTTTATAACAAAACTTCCACCTTTACAGTTGTGATAGTCG